TCTGGATGGAGAGGAGGCATCGCTACCATGAATGCAGTTGTCACGGGCTGATTCTCATCCTGAACTCCATCACAGAAATTATGATTGGCTAGAACATTCATAACACCAGTTCCAAGGCTTTTTACAGCCACCAGCATGGTGTTCTCAAAAAAAAGACCCCTGCCTTTGGAATTTATTTTTCATGGTAGTCTGCCAAACTGGGTTTGACAGGATTTAGGAAGGCTCATTAAATTGGTTGATTGACTTAGTTTAGAGTCTGCTTCCTCTAGGTTTTATTTTGTTTGGTTTGTTACATTTTGGTGGTTAATTTGAAATGGGGATTTTCTTAAAAATTAGTTTGTGTCTGTAAAAAATGAGGGCAATAAAGCCTGAGAGGTAAAAACTGAGAAGATGAATTTGTTCATATTTGTAAAGAGCTACTCAAGCATATGCCCAGATTTTCAGAGGAGCTCTGTTCCCACTTTGGCACCTAAACAAGTGGCCAGATTTTCAAAAGTGCTCAGCATCTGCATTTGTGGCCAGATTTTCAGAACTGCTCAGCTCCCATTTTTCTCTGAAAATCTGGCCACAAATGAGCTATATAAATACCAAATACAGCAATGGCTGATAAAAAGGCAACATTTGCTGACAGATACTACAGTTTTCCTATTCTAATTATAGTGAAAATCTGTGGGGGAACTTTTGGCAGATGCTACAGTTTTAACTATGATCACTATATTATCATCTTCGTTAACATTTTCTTCACTGTTTGCAGGTGACATTCACAGGAGTTGTGTTTTTAGTTTTTATGCCACTTTCTGCTGACATATGTAATTTGTGTACGTTTCCCCCCTCCCCAAATTATTATTATTTTTGTAATGGTTGCAATGAAATAAAACTAAGAAATAAATTTTGTTTCTTTCGTGTTCTTGTTGATCATTTCTTATTGTCTCCTATTCTAAGAAATAGAGACAAAGAGGTAAAACAGAACAGATGAGGTTGATGGCTTAAGGGTGGCTGTAATTTCACAGAAGACTGTCATTAAGTCAGAAGCGATACTCTATATTAGATCTTGAAAATGGGAAGAACATCAGTAAACATTTCTGAGAAACGCTATATGTTTCCAGTTTCCAGCGATGGGAGAGGAGATGAGTTAGCACTTTTTCTAGATTGAAGTTTAGAAAGGTGATCCTGAGACAGACATAAGGGAGTGGCCATAATGATGAAGACTAATGAATATGAATGCATGAACTGGGCCTCATTTCTGCTTCATGATCTATACAGGCACACTACTGCCAAACTACAGTGGGGCATCACACAGGCTCAGCCCATTTGTATCACAGCACAGGATTGAGTTTTGCCTAAAGATGGTCAAGAACATCAGCTACAGCATGGGTGATAATTCACAGCACAATCAGGGTTTTACTAATATTCTACTCCTTTATTTTACATCCAGTCAGTACTCTGAAAGCTTTGATTCCTGACTTGTAGAAAATACAAAGAGAAATCATCCTAAAATCCCTCTAGGAAGCCAGGTGTGAACAGAGTTCACTTTTTTGATTAGTGTTCCTACATTTTTTGGATAATTCCATAAATCACCCAAGACACTCGTTATAAATACAATCACGTTTATTTCCACTTAAGAACACACTTCGCTGCTGCTAGCAACCCCTCTCAAGGCATAGAACTGTTATTCTAAGATCTTTTTATAGGCTTTGAATTTTTTTCAAAACTTAAAACAAAATCAAAAAGTCTACCTTATGGAGCTCTAAAAAAAATAGGGTTTTTTTCTTTTTAAAACGTGTCCCGGCCTCGAACGTAGAGTTATTGATCACAAATGTTCAGAAAATAAAAATCTGTAGGGACGCCACCATTTCCAACCGGACTCTTTTCCTGTTGCAAAGTGCTGAGAAGAAGTTGATAGTACACATTGGAGCAGCTCCTAAGAAAGCATCAGAGAAGCGATGTGCAGAAGAAAAACACCAAGTCTGAAACTCTCATCAGCATAGCACTAGCAGTCAAGTGTCCTATTGGACATTCGTTCTCAGGAATTAGGACCTCAGGATGGCCAGCCTGGCAGTTTTCAATGTACTGTTTTATTTTGTGTTGTGAACGCTAAGAAATGGCTGAAATGATCTAAGCTGTTCTGAAACAGACAGAAAGTGTAACATGCAAGCTGTTTGTAGGAGCATATGGAGGAATAGAACAACAGTGGGAAATTATGCAGTGCATTCCGACGACTAAAAATCTATGTTTCAGGCTAGATACAGAAAGACAATATCCAGAAGAACCATTTTAGCAAAGTCACCAAGACAATCATCTCAGTCGCCTCAATGCAGGCTCACAGGGTGTATTACTAATACATACTTTGTTACCCTGCCTTGCATTAACCACTTATAATAACTGCTTCAATGACTAACCTAGCCAGATAACTTTCTATTTCTTGATCTGTTCAACTGGACTAGACTCCCACCTCGTTTTTCCATATTGCTAGCATATTTTCCCCCGTCTGATGGATCATCTTTCACATATGGAAAAAGAAAAGTGGACTTTATATTGTCACATACAGTACCATGCTTTTCACCTCCATCTTCACTCAAGAGCTCTTTACCCTTTATTGAAAGCCCCCCCTCCAAGTACATTTGAACCTGTTCCAATACTATCAAAATTTACTTTGCAGATCAATATTTCCTGGAGTACAAAACTAGACATTTTCTGAAACCCACATAAATCATACCCACTGATTCCCCAATAGACTAGCATGTCAGCAACTTGTTCAGAGAACTCAAGCAAATGTGCAACTCATGACCTTCCTTTAGCGAATCTATGCGGACAGTCTTCTACCAAGTTGCACATTTCTTAAAGTTACCTAGCTCTATTTTTTTCTCTCAGTGAGGCTTCTCTCATCTTTCTAGCAGCTGATTATCTTATTGTTCCTATTATCTTATCTTAAATACTGGGTTTACTTTCTTAGCAACATTCTAGCAAATTTCCTAGCAAGTTCTGGGATATCATTTGGCCAGCCTGGTTCTCCACATTTCTAATATTCTTACTGCATCTGCTCTTATTTATCAAGCCACATTAGCATTTCCCTCCAGGAAATTTTAGCCGGGCAACAAAAGGTGACCTTCAAGTTCCTTATAATAAGCAACAAGATCAAACTGTTCATTCTGATTCTCCTGCTCATCTGTAGTTATCTTCCCACCTGTATCTTAGCTCTGTTGAGTCTTTGCAAGGGCATTTGCGCTATAAGGAATGAAAGAACTGAATGTTGTTGATTACTGGATTTTCTCTGATTTTACTTGAAGAGCTTTAGGTTTCTTTAAAAATTGTTTCCATTCCTTATTCTTTCTTCCTGATTTCCCCCCCCCCCACACACACACACACTTCTCATTTCATATACTGTAGACTTCTAATACCTTGTCTTCTTCACTACCATTTCTTAATTCATCTACTTTGTTAAACCTAAACTGGCACACACAGCCTTTGTACATGAAATCATTTTTTCCTCAGAGTACCCTCTGATCGTTGTCAGTCCTCTGTCCTTTACACTGGGTACTTCATTCAACATTAGTAAACAAGTTCCTTTCTAAATGCAGAATAGACACTGAAAGTTTGTTCATTTGTTTTCAGATGAATGCCAAGTGGAGGGGGAAAAAAAAAAACTAGTAAAAATAAAAAAGTATGAGATATTTACAAATTCCTAGACACATTTTGTTAATACTGTAAAATAGCCTAATTATTGCTAATTCCTTTGGTATTCACTGTAATGATAATAATAATCATGATGAACTCATTTAGCATTAATATGGATAGTCATAAGTACTTCTGTGTGAGTTCTACTCTAATTCAGCAATAATTAATTGCATGCATCATCATTAATTTTAAAATGTCACCCAATTTTTTAATTGTACGGAGTTCACCTCAGCTTTTGGGACTCAGTGAACAGAGAATTTGTTTGTAGAGATGCTCCCTCAAGGTCTGCTACAAAGTCTACTGAAGTCAATGAGGAGACTCCAGTGAATTTAAAAGGGTTAAATTCAGGTCCTTAGTTAGTTGATTAAAAATATTAAAATAATATAGAAGGTGGTAATTTTAAAAAAGAAAAAGTAAACATACATAACTAAGAACGTTATGGCAAATTTCTGAAAGTTTGCTAAGACTAGACAACTTTGCTTTTATGCGGCCACATTAAATGATGTCAGAATTGCTTTTTAGGCATTTTCTGTGATCAGAAGGAGTAAAAGTGAAACTCTGAATAAATATAACAGGCCAAATGGATGCTGATTCTTTTGGAGATAAAAATATTAGAAGCACAATACTCTACTGCATGTTACAGGAATCATTCTCAGTTCATTTTCAAGCCTGCTCATAAACGTTCCACAACATTCTCTTATCCACTGCCTTTATCAAGAGAGAAAGAATCAGTGCATCTTTATGTAATTCCCTTTGCTTTGTTTAAGCTGACAATTGTTGGAACAGGTTTCAGGCACAGCACCTGCCTAATTCAGAGGGTATTGTTTATCTCCAAGCCAAGCATCATTCTGAACTTCCCCACCACTCAACTTGCTGCAGATTTTCAGTCGCACAATGAACGGTCAGATCAACCCACTGGGTTATCCTCGGTTTCATCCTCAACTATAAAACCTCCCAAACGGCAGAAATTTGCACATGTAGGCTGCTTCCAGAATATTTCCTGGCTCTATGCATCTGACCTTCTCCCTTCAACAACTAATCCTCAGCCATAGTTTGCCGTGCAGCTGCCTGACGGGGAGGCATGCTGCAGATCATGCCTATGCCTGCTCCAACTTTTTGTTAGGAACAGATTCTGATCCTGTTAATCCTCTTCTCCCAAAGAGACGCCCCTCCTCAAACCCGGCAACATTGGCGCCATGACGGGATGGTTCCCACCTGCCTGCGGAGAGGCACCGAGGGCTCGGGAAACAAATAACTTGAGCACACTCAGAAGTCGACTCAGGGGGACTCAAGGGCTGGCTAGAGCGACGGGATGGGCCACTTACCGCTGCGGGGGGGTGGGGTGGGGGGAGAACCTCTCTCTGCCCCCGGCTCTCAGTCTCCCATCCTCCAGGCAGCCCGGTAGCAGCCGCCCCTCCCGGTGCTCAGCCCGCGGGGCGCAAGCCAACCGCGGAGTTCTCGTCCAGCAGTCCGGAGGGAGCCCTCCGGATCGCCCTGCCTCCTCGGCGCTCAGGGCTGGGGACGCGATACAGCTACGGGCATCCTGGGCAAGCCTTTTGCCTCCCTCCCTCCCCAGCCCAGCACTTTGCTGCTGGGGCTCCGGCCGGCTCTGCTCGCCCCTGCTCTCGGGGTGGTTATATTGGGAGAGCGGGGAAGCACCTCCTCTGGCTGGTGTTTTGCTGTGCAGCAATTTCTCCTCCAATGTGTTCGCTCTTCCCCCTCGCTCTCCGCCTCTGACTGGCTGGGTCCTCCCGGCGAGCTGAGTGTAGGAGAGCGTGTGTCTGTCTCTCTCTCACCCCCCCCGCGCCTCCTCACTGCCTCTTGCTGAAGAGGGTCATTTAGCATGTCCCTGGGCGTAAGGTACCCTTTGCCCGGGGAAGGGGTTTTAAAAATATATATTGCACTCTGCAGGGATGGGCTTGGCTTCCCCTCTCCTGAGCGCGCAGGGCTTCCTCCTCCTCCTCTTCTTTGCCTCTGAATTTGAATTGTCATGTAATAGGTTTATTTTGCGGGCGGCTGGCTTCTGCAAAGTGTTGGCTGGCCCCGCATCTTGTTGCTCCTTCTCTTCCCTGGCAGCCGCAGAACTAACCAGAGCTCCGAACAAACTGATCAGCTGGGGGTGGTTTTTAATCAGAACACCCCCCCCCCCATTAGTATTTTTAATTGGTTGTGTTTTCAGGGTGATGGCTCCAGTCTCTCTCCTGGTTCCCTGAGCCCCTGGCATGCAACGTGCAGGGTCCAAGTCCAGTCGAGAAGGTGATCCTCACAACAGTCCTCCTCCCCCTAGCCAAAGAAAGAGCAGGTTTAGCCTTAAGACACCAGACTCTTTCTGAATTTCTAGATCACCGTGGCTGTAATTGGAAAAATAACACAGGCAGTAAATTTATCGGCTGGCAGCTTTAAGTGCCATTGTTCTGGCAGTCCTCCCTATCCCTTCCCTCTCTCTGATTCATTCTCTAATTCCCTTGATTCATCTGATTTTAATTGAATACTAGTTAAATAAATTATGGTCCCTCTCTTACCCCATATATTTCTCCATGTGGGTCTCTGTTGTGTCTGTGTTTAACGGCAATGTGCTCCGCTTTAATGCTTTACATTAGTATGTGAAACTGCAGGACTCTCACTCAAGTCCAACTCTCCACCCCCTTTATAAGGCACAGGTGACTCAAATCAGTCTACCTCCAGCAGCACAGCACTGTATTCTTCTGGCTCCTTTATTCCCTGCTTGGTGGGCTGACTGGCTCCTAACTGGCACACACAGTCACATGCAGCATAGCTGATAGCTCGATACCTTCCAACGCTGGGACTGGGGTGCTTTATCTTGCAGCCTTTCTGTTAATTAAAATGAGCCTTTCCTACCTTCCTCTGCTTCTTCTCACTCATCCATATATGTAGTGCACACTCCCACTCTGTGCTTTTAATGGCTAGCCTTAGGAAGTAGGCTGATTTTATTATTTTTTTCTCCTGCGGAAGACACAAGGTTCTTCTTTAACATTTAATGCTTCCTTGCCCTTCTATATTTTTATTTCGTTTTCGCCTCTTGCTAGTAATTAGGGTTTTTTTCCCCCTTCCTTACATATTAACTGAATGATGGTTGTCTAACTCTGAGCTTTTCCTCTGCTTCAGTGACTCCACTTCAGTGAGGAATACTCTCTCAAGCTGGGGGTTGGGGTACAAAAAAAAACCAAAAAACAATCTACACAACTTTTTATTTATTTTGGGACCTAGGTATTTTCTGTGCAATCGGTAAAGGCACCGTCTTTTGTTTTAGATTTGCATAGTAGTTGTCTTAAATCAGAGCTGGTAACATGGTTTTCTTATGGATTTAATAATTTATATTGACCGGGCTATCAAGATGAGACATCACTGGTGAGTGGCACACATTTTTATACACTTTTGTGGTCTTGTATATTGCATGAAACTTTGGCAGAGGATCTGCAACTCAACATCGCTGTTGAATTAATTCTGTAGAGAAATATCAATGAAGATTTTCTTAGCTAAATTCCCATACATTGACATTTTAAAAATCTTAAATGTGCTCATTCTTCCATAGCTATATTAACTATCCTTGTGAAAAAAAAGTATGAATGAACCTATAATTTAGAGACCTTTTTCTCTGAATTTACTCTCTTACAAACCCAGTATAACATTGTTTCTCATAACTGTGGCTGGTTAGCTAGAACTATTTCTATGGGCAAGTGATCTTGCAATTTGACAAATCAAAACTTCTTTTCATTGACTCAATTCACAGAACATTATCACCTGGTCATTATTTCCAGTGTTACTAGGTTACAAGCCAGCATTTAATCAGGAGCCAGAAATAGTGACTGCATTAATTCTGATCTTATGAATAATGCATGAGATGCCATTTCTCAATATTTCCAGTGTCAATGTTGAAACCAGAAATATTTTTACTAATTTTTAACATTGTAGTTATTTACAACAGTGTAGAATTATTTATAAAGATTTGACTTTTAATGTGTTTTTTTTTAAAAAAAACACACTGACATGTATTTAAAATATACTAAGACTTTTTCAAAAACTGATAATGGAGGGGTTTCCTTACCTGTATCCACCCTTGTGAAGTTTACAGATCAGATCTTTCAGCAGGTGCTTTAAACTACATGTGCTATAATGACTAGAGTGCATTATTTTTGCTTTTAAAGCCCTTTTTTTACATTGTTTTCCTTCTTGGAATACATAATTCTCAGTTTGTTTTAAACATCTATTTTACTCCCATCTTTTTACACTTATGCTAAAATATACACTAGCAGTATTTCAAGAGCCTTATTTATGGGGACACATTTATACTTCCTTTAGTGGTATAAACAAAATAGATACTCTTCTGGGAATATCAGTTTCTTCTCCTTTGTAGAGTGAAGGAGCACACTTCTTGTAAGACATTCTGTTAAGAAGTTCACATGTTTGTCTGCACTTTCCCAAGGTCAGAACCCTTCTAAGATTTGTTTATCCTCAACATTTTTACAGTTTTATGTCACATAAATTCAATGCTAAAATTTTTTGTAGCGAATTGGGTCAGTGTCTAGATAGTATTATTATTATTATTTATTTTATTATTACAGACCTAACTTCAATTTAGCTGTCAATTTGCTTATCTGATCTAGTTGTTTGTCCATCTTTGTATAAGTGTCTGAGCCCTGGTCTACACTAGGACTTTAGGTCGAATTTAGCAGCGTTAAATCGATGTAAACCTGCACCCGACCACACGATGAAGCCCTTTATTTCGACTTAAAGGGCTCTTAAAATTGATTTCCTTACTCCACCCCGACAAGTGGATTAGCGCTTAAATCGGCCTTGCCGGGTCGAATTTGGGGTACTGTGGACACAATTCGACGGTATTGGCCTCCGGGAGCTATCCCAGAGTGCTCCATTGTGACTGCTCTGGACAGCACTCTCAACTCAGATGCACGATTGTTTGCCGTTGCTCTGACGCAGGGAGGGGCGACTGACGACACGGCTTACAGGGTTGGCTTACAGGGAGTTAAAATCAACAAAGGGGGTGGCTTTACATCAAGGAGTATTTCAGGCAGGACTTCACGTTGCAATAAGAAATGGTGCACCTAAGTTATTGTTCTTATTGGAACAAGGAGGTTAGTCTGGTCTCTGATTGATACATGGCTAGATTTTCCTCGCTGCACCTTCTCTGTGAGTGACTGCAGTGTGACCTAGAGGAATGAGTCCCCTAGTCTAGGGGTAGCGGGGGGGGGGGTTACAAATGAGTACAAAACAAATCTGGTCTATTTCTTGTTTTGATACACTCCATCTATCTTTTACATCTTTGGCTGGCAGCAGACGGTGCAGAAGGACTGCATGCCATCCACATCTCAGAGCTGCTCGGCAGAAGATGGTACAATAGGACTGCTAGCCATCCTCATCTCTTGCCTGCCCGGCAGAAGATGATGCAATAGGACTGCTAGCAATCTGTATCACCTGCCTGCTCACCATAAGATGGTTCAATAGGACTGACTGCAGGACTAAAGAGAATGACCTGATCAAGTCACAAATTTAGTCCCTGCGCCCAATTCCAATGGGCAGCAGAGACTGCGGGAACTGTGGGATAGCTACACACAGTGCAACGCTTCGGAAGTCGACTCTAGCCTCAGTACTGTGGAAGCACTCCGCCGAGTTAATGCACTTAATGCACTTAGAGCATTTTCTGTGGGGACACACACACTCGAATATATAAAACCGATTTCTAAAAAAACGACTTCTATAAATTCAACCTAATTTCGTAGTGTAGACATACCCTTAATCTCTTTATCTCAGTGTCCCCCAGTGGGCAAGCAGTCAGATGCTGCACATCTGCAGAGTCTTATTTGTCTTGCAGAGCTTTCTCTTTCATTCCTTCCCTCCTCCTCTTTTTCAGCTGAACCAAATACGTTCCTGTTCCTCTAATCCAGCCCAACAGAGGACTGGCATTAGAAATAGCACTATCCCTGGGATTTGTTGCTACCATTTTATGGTAGAATTACTGTCTTCTGATTATGGTGCTATTCTTCTTTAACTGTTTCCAGAGAGGAACTAAACAAAGAGAGTGAACTTAAAAAAGACCACCCCACACATGGTCGACAACAAAACTTTCATCAACAAATCTACATATGCAGTCATATACAATGCTCACCATTATGAACTAACCAATTTCCCCCTCTATTTAGAGCAGGTGGTCTTTGTAGAAATTGCTTTGCAGTGTTTGGCAAATGTCAACTTTTTAACGACTTGACTTAACGTTTATTCCAAACATAGGAGATAATTAAACTATCTTAGGTACCCGTGTGTGGTAAATGGTAACATTTAAATGGCAACCATGTGCACAGACTTCTCTAGGATATCTGTGTAGGCTTTTCCAGTTCCCCCAATCTATGTAACTGCAAGCTTTATCAGATAATTTTACAGGGGGAATAAAACAAGGCCAACCTCAGCTTGAAAACAGATAGTTCTTTAAGCTCTCTGCAAATGGCAGAAGATTCAGAAGAGGCATCTTAGCTGTAGCTGCTAGTTACTGAACTGGAGATTGTATATTAAAATAAATAGACTTCCAGCCAGGCTTTAGAAACAGATGCACTTCCCCTCCATTGAGCACTGAAATACACGTATCTAAGCTGCCTCAACCAAGCGAGGGAAAGTTGAGTAAATTCTGTCAATCAGTTGGGTGCAGGTGCCCATTGCTACCTGGCTTAGGAAGAGAGAGGACTAAACACTCTAAAACTATGCAAAGACCAACTGCAGAGGTGGCCTGCAGTGTGTGGACCAACACTGAGAATTAGGTAGGTACAGGCTGGCAATGTCACACCATTCAGTTATGAACAGGAGTGGACAGTGTGACTTTGACAATGCAAAATCAGCACTGCTTGGACAGCACACGGAGCATAACAAATGCTAATTATTTCCTTACCCTCAAACCCAACCCCTTTCCCCCTGCCTGCCTGCTAAGTGTCAGGCCAGCCGCCCTTCGGAACCACACAAAGCCAGTCAATGGGTTCCTACAAACAGGCCCCAAGACT